GCAGCGCTGTGAATTGCCAGTGTAGCCAAGGCCTTGGAGAGGTGGAGTACTTGCAGCGCTGCGAGAGAGCTCTCACAGCGCTGGCGGCGCGACTACACTCGCGCTTCACAGCACTGCCGCAGCAGCGCTGTGAATCCGCGAGTGTAGCCAAGGCCTAAGAAAACTAGGAGCTCGGACGCTAACTGTTAAGGGGAAAAACAGAAGAGCCAGCAAGGGGATTTTGAGTCAGTGTAGGAGGCAATCAGGTCATTTCTGATCTCCCTGGGCTCTGTGGCTGCTGGTAGCCCCACCCCAGATGGAGAGGTGAGGACATCCTGGACCAGGAGAGGTGGGCTGGACGTGCCTGCCTGGCCCAGCAGCAGCTGGAGATTTGGCCCTGGACTGTAACTAGGGCTCCTGCACAACCATAATACAAATAATCAATTCAGCACTGGAAACACCTGAGACAAATAGCCTGAGCCCCAACTTTTCCCCTCTGCACCTCACGGCCCACCAGGGCAGCCTGGCCTGCAGGGCCACGTGCCGTGTCACACTGGAGTCCCAGCTACAACACCCAGCTTGGCTTAAACCAACCAAACGCTCAAGGAGGAAGGCACCGTTTTGACAAAGGGAGGCTGCAGAACCGGGCTGGGAGCAGCAGAACCAACGGGAGGAGGTGCTATCCCAGACACATTTAAACACAGCTTGCTCGTGGGTGAGTTCCTAGTTCAATAACAGACGCGATATCAACCAGGGAGGCCCCTGCATTTCCAGGCATTCAAATGGCAGCATCTTACAGCCAACAGCCATGTGGCCAGGGCCCTCCCTGGGATGTGGGAGAGCCACATTCAAGTCCCTGCTTGGAATCAGGCACATCCCAGCTGGGTGCTTCACCATGGGGCTATGCCCTGGAACTATCCCACCCTGCGTATGTTATGTACAGACACCTTCCCACAAAAAGCTTCTGCCTGTCACTTGGCATTAAACAACCCCCCCCCCCCAACCCATTTTTGGACAATTCCCAACCAGTTCTGCCACTGAGCTACCGTGTGACCATGCCATTTCACTTGACCCCTCTTGGCAGCTGCATCCTCTCCCACCTCTGATCTTGTCTCTTTGAGGCAGGGGCTGGTTTCTTACTAAGTCTGTGCAAGGCCTGACAATGGCTGGGGCCTCTGGCTGCCATTCTACCCCAAGTAACTCATACTAGGTTGGGGCTGTTTGCCAGTCCAGCCTGGGAGCTCTCAGCACACCAGCAGTCCCCCTCTACATGTCTTGACATGGAGCACGACCCCTCCTGGAACCCTACAGGGAGCAGCCCCCCCATTGCAATTGAAACCCAGCAGAACAGATGGCAATGTCTGCTCAACCACCAGCACTGGCAGGGGTTTTGCAATGTGAGCAGCAGGGCATAGGCCCTGCAGGAACCAGGAGCCCCCCCACAAGGGTCAATTCACACAATTACACACACACACTGGTTGGGGGAGCCCAGCTGGGGACCTTGTGCTGACTGGGGCAGGTTCTCAGCAGCTTGGGAAGACCAGTGCTCTGCCGAGCTCCCCAAACCCAAGGCACCTGAATCCAGCAGCCTCATGAAAGACTGGCTCTGGTGTGCTGAACAGGGCGGGGGACTTGCAAATACAACAATTAGCTTACAAACATTTTTAATAACAAATAAAATCAGTTGTGTGTCTCTTGCTCCACCTGACTCCTTAAGGCAGAGGGGCTGGGCAGGGGCCTTTCCACTCTTGGGTCCAAGTTCTGCCATACAGGGGGACATGAAAAAATAAGTCCCTGGTCTGAGCCCAGTTCCTGGAGGTGATACCCTGGGCCAAGGAGCGAAGGGGGAGAGGGAAAGAGCTGCCCTCCACCCCAGCAGAGGGGCCCCTGCCTTAGGCCTGCTGCCAACCCTGCCCCAACCACTGACGCACAAAGGACACGCAGCCCCCAAGCCACAGGGCTGCTTTTTATGCAGTGGAGTAGCTGAGGCAGCAGCATTTCATGAGAGACGAGGCCCTGCCCTGCCCCCAGAGAGACAGGGGAGTCCAACCTGAGGATGGCAATGGGTGCCAGGGCAGAATGGCACATAGGCGGCCAGGCCAAAGAAGAGATGTTGGGGTGCAAGATCTCCCAGGATGGTCAGACCGCTCAGTCCAAACAGCCCAACAAGCTGCCTGCTCTGCAAGGGGGTGGGAGTGCAGGGGCAGAGCAAGGGGGTATTTGCATTGAGGGTCCCCGCACAGGGGCTGGGGGGATGGTTGGGCACCGTAGTGCCAGGCCAGACATCATGGCTGCTCACGCCATGCCCTCCCCCCGGTGGCTGAGCACATGGAGCTGCAGCTGGTGGAGATCGCTGAAGGTGCTGTGGCACTGGTGGCAGGAGGGATAGTGCCTGCGCAGCCGCATGTGCTGCTTCAGCGACCGCTGGTACACAAAGCGCTTGGCACAGACCACACAGATGTAGGGGCCCAGGGGGGGCCGGCCTCGCCTTCGCTTCTTGGGGGGCCGCCCTCGCTTCTTCGGGGACTGGCCTTGCGCTTGCTTCTTGGGGGGCCGCCCTTGCCTCTTCCCCTGTGGGACAGGCTCCAGCTCCTCATCCTCTTCAGCCCCGCTCTCCCCTGCCCAGTCCTCCCCAGAGCTTCCCCCAGGGTCACTGCCCTCCCCTGCTCCCTCCTCAGTGTATTTCCCTTGGGGCTGGGACTGGCGGAAGTTATAGGGTTTGTGCCACGCTCCCTGCTCAGCCCAGAGCTCCTCTGAGGGGGCTGGCAGCTGTGGAGGGGCTGAGGGGGGTGGTGGGGCTGGCAGCGGCATCAGGCGCAGGGGCCGTGGGGGAGCTAGCAGTGGTGGGGCTGAGGGAGGTGAGGGTTGCAGGGCGACTGATGGTGGTGGGGAGTGCAGGGGGGTTGATGGTGGCGGGGGATGCAGGGGTTGGGATGGGGCTGGCACTGGCGGAGTGTGTGGCCCGTTGCCCTTCTCTGCTGACATCCTGCTGGTGAGATCACCGAGCTGCCCTCCTGCTGGCCGCTGAGCTTTGGCTGCAGAGAGAAGAGGAGACAGGTCAGGGAGCATCGTGTGTGTGGGGGAAGATGACCCTTCATGGTCCAAATAAGAGCCCCTCTGAATAGGCAGTGAGGGCTCAGCCCCCAGGAGAGAGCATGCTCTGCCAGGGGAGAGCAGTTAGACGGAGGATTCAGCCCCCGAACCCCATGGAAAGGGGTTCCCAATGGGGGTGAGGGCCAAATTCTGATGTCCCATCAATCTGTGCACCCCCATGACTCCAGCAGGGAGTTCTGGGGGTGACCCCCAGCTTTTCCTCCTTAAAAGGCCCCCTTCACTGCCCTCCCTTCAACTCTAGGCAAGGAGAGCCATGGTAGAGCCTCCGTTGCTCAGAAAGGCATGTGTGCTTGGGGCAATCCTCTGTATTTCCAGCGCTTTCCCTGGGCCCAGGACCCCAAGTGACATGAACCCAGCCCCCCCAGGCAGGGAGGCAATCAGCTCATTTTGTGGTTGGCACATCCCCCCTTTCCATGCTCAGCACAGGGCATGGCCCAGTCCTAGCCAGGAAGGCAGAGTGGCCATCTTGTCCCTGGCAGCCATCTTGTCGGCACAAGCCACACTGAGGTTTTGTAACGAATGGGGCCGCATGGGAATTGCTCCGGGGCCCAGCTACTGCAGGGAGGCCGACAGCAGAGGCTGAGAAGCAGGAGCCAACCTGCCCAATAGCTAAGCATTGTGCCCTGGTGTCAGTATATGGTACCTGGGGTTGGGCGCAGCTCTGGCATCCTCCTGGGTACTGGTCCTTGCAGAGTACACGCGTTGGTACTCCCGGCTCCCGTGCCCGTGTCCCTTGGGGGCACAACCATCTGGGGTGGGATCTGAAGGATGATCTTGGTGCCCGGGGGCAAGGTTGCTGGGTTCAGTAGGATCAGGCCGTTACTTATCACTCCTGTGACTGGGTCTGAGGGAGGGATGGTCAAAGGGACTGAGACAGAGGCCAGTGAGGTCATCGATGTGGTTGAGCTGTGGGGCCTCACTGCTGCTCGGGCTGGGGCCCCAGGCGCTAGTGGGGCCGGAGCTGCGGGCCTGGCTGGGGCGGAGCCTGGGGACCCGGCTGGGGTGGAGCCTGGGGGCCTGGCTGGTAGTGGGACTGGGGCGGAGCCTGGGGGCCCAGCTGCTAGTGGGGCTGTAGGCCCGGCCGGGGCAGAGCCTGAGGGCCCGTCTGCTAATGGGGCTGGGGGCCTGGCCGGGGTGGAGCCTGCTGCCGGCACAGAGTCAGGGACTCTGACCACGAGTGACGCTGTCTCCGGAGTCCTGGCACTGTTGTGTCCCGGCTGGGAGGCACGGGACTGGGACTGGGCCCGGCAGAAGTGCCCTCCCGTGTACTGCACCCCACAGCGCGCGCAGGTCTGCGGCCCCTTGTGCAGACTCTTGTGGAAGAGCAGCTTGAACTCGAGGGTGAAGACGGCGCCACATTCGTCGCACACAAAGGCCTTGTGGCGGCGCTGGTGCAGGCGCAGCAGCATGGGGCTGGCGAAGCTCTTGTCGCAGTCCTCGCAGCGCAGCAAGGGCTTGGGGGCCGAGGCCCGGAGCTGCCCCACGTGGCTGCGGATGTGCGCCAGCAGCTCTGCCTGCGACACAAAGCTGCGCTTGCAGTCCATGCAGGGGAAGGGCCGGATGCCCTCGTGGCGCCGCAGGTGCTCCTGCAGATCGGGGGCCGAGGCGAACACCTTGGGGCACTTGGAGCAGCTGAAGGGGCGTTCCCGGCCCCCGCTGTGCACGCGCTGGTGCTTGGTAAGGTTGGAGGAGTCAGTGAAGGACTTGCCGCAGGCGTGGCACGAGTACAGTGCCTCCCGCGTGTGGATCCGCAGGTGCTTCCGCATGTTGCTGCTGTTGGCGAACTTCTGGCCACAGGTGGGGCACGGGTAGACACGTGGAGCCGTCCCTCCCTGGGGACCCCGCTTCCTCTGCCGCTGGGGAGAGGGCTCAGCCTCTTCCTCCTCCTCCTCCTCTTCGGCTGAGCTCTCCTCCGTGGAGCCACCAGGGGAGTCTCCCTCTTCCTCCTCCTCTGCTGAGCTCTCCTCCATGGAGCCAGCAGGGGTGTCTCCCTCCTCCTCCTCTGCTGAACGCTTCTCCACAGGGCCCCTGGGTCTCAGGGAATAGCCCCCCTGGCTGTCCGGGGCAGCCTCCGAGGACTGGGCAGGGGAGGAGGGTGAGGAAGGTGGCACTGCTGGGCTGCCGGCCTGGCCCTCTTCATCATCTGCAGAGAGAGGCACATGGTGAAATGCCCATCCTGGTGGGGCTGCATCTGGCGGAGCAGCTTAGCTGACACCTCAGCCTCCCCCACCCCTTACGCTCTCGGCCCAGTTCAGCCATTCACCCAATTGCTCTTCAGTCCCACACCACTAGCCCACGGCTGCCCTCCGCACCCTGCTCTCAGCGCCTCGGAGAGGGGAGATCAGAATGCAGCCAAGCCCAGAGCTGGTCGCTGGTGGATGAGTTAAACACAGGCCTCGACCCTGACAAATGCCGACAAGGGATGAGGGCACTGTCCCCATGCCCCCGCGTTAACACCACCCCGCTCCTGCCAGCTGGGCCAGCACAGCGCTCAGGCGTCCAGTGGGGATGGAGGACAGTGCCTGAAGACCCAGAGCCAGATGCTGCTGCTCCCCAAGATGTATTTGTCCGAGACTGCATATGGGTCACAGAGGAACCGCTGCCAAGGCCCTGTCTGAGTCTCTGTCCTGCTCCAGCTAGGAGGTTCTCAGATGGTGACACCTGGAGCAGAGCCCTCGCCCAGGGAAGATGTGGTGATCTCAGGACAAGGGTCTACACATGAGATGGGAGTCTCAGCCACAGACCTAAACAATCAGACTGACCACAAGGCATTTGAATCCCACCAGATGCAGCCAGACAGGAAGGGACCCACAAACTCTCCCCAGACTTTGGGAACAGAACCTACCCGATCTCCCAGTGCAGCTGACTTCCCCACAGAGCACGTTTCTTCACTGGCCTCCCTCCCTCGTTCTTCCTCGCTCTGCTCACATTTACCGCCCCCTTGCACGCCTCCTCCTGCTGGGGGTGGGGGTGGGCAGGGAGCGCTCACCTGGATCCCTGAGCAGGGCGCTGGGTACAGCCTGCCAAGCCCCTGCCCTCCCCACTTCCCCACCAGACAGGCGGCTGGAGCCCAGCTGTCTTGCTGGTTCTCCCTGTGGCTCATCAGCTACCTCCTGACACATCCAGCTGTGGGCTCAGCATCAGGCAGCGCAGCCCCCAGGTGGATCCACCTCCAGCTCCCAAGTCCCTCCCCTCAGGGGTCATAGAACCATAGAATATCAGGGTTGGAAGGGACCTCAGGAGGTCATCTAGTCCAACCGCCTGCTCAAAGCAGGATCAACACCAACTAAATCATCCCAGCCAGGGCTTTGTCAAGCCGGGCCTTAAAAACCTCTAAGGAAGGAGATTCCACCACCTCCCTAGGTAACCCATTCCAGTGCTTCACCACCCTCCTAATGAAAAAGTTTTTCCTAATATCCAACCTAAACTTCCCCAACTGCAACTTGAGACCATTACTCCTTGTTCTGTCATCAGGTACCACTGAGAACAGTCTAGATCCATCCTCTTTGGAACCCCCTTTCAGGTAGTTGAAAGCAGATATCAAATCCCCCCTCATTCTTCTCTTCTGCAGACTAAACAATCCGTTCCCTCAGCCTCTCCTCATAAGCCCCCTCATCATTTTTGTTGCCCTCCGCTGGACTCTTTCCAATTTTTCCACATCCTTCTTGTAGTGTGGGGCCCAAAACTGGACACAGTACTCCAGATGAGGCCTCACCAATGTCGAATAGAGGGGAACGGTCACGTCCCTCAATCTGCAGGCAATGTCCCTGCTTATACAGCCCAGAATGCCGTTAGCTTTCTTGGCAACAAGGGCACACTGTTGACACATATCCAGCTTCTTGTCCACTGTAACCCCTAGGTCCTTTTCTGCAGAACTGCTTCCTAGCCATTCGGTCCCTAGTCTGTAGCAGTGCATGGGATTCTTCCATCCTAAGTGCAGGACTCTGCACTTGTCCTTGTTGAACCTCATCAGGTTTCTTTTGGCCCAATCCTCTAATTTGTCTAGGCCCCTCTGTATCCTATCCCTACCCTCCAGCGTATCTACCACTCCTCCCAGTTTAGTGTCATCTGCAGACTTGCTGAGTGTGCAGTCCACACAATCCTCCAGATCATTAATGAAGATATTGAACAAAACTGGCCCCAGGACCGACCCCTGGGTCATTCCACTTGAAACCGGCTGCCAACTAGACATGGAGCCATTGATCACTACCTGTTGAGCCCGACGATCTAGCCAGCTTTCTATCCACCTTATAGTCCATTCATCCAGCCCATACTTCTTTAATTTGCTGGCTGTCCCTTTCCCCTCCCCACAGCTGTGGGTCTCACGCTCCTCTCCAAGGGGAGCTGGATTGAAGAGAGCGAGCACTGCTCATGCACAGCCTCACTCAGCAGGGGCAGCCCCGGCCTAGCCAGGTGGGGGAATCCTCGCCACCAACCCACACTGGTCACAGGGGTGGCAGGAGCCTAACCCCAGCTCTGCAGTAAGGCCCTTCCTGGCTCTGCCCAGAGAACAGCCTGGGCTGCCCCGGCACTGGGCGCGCAGTTCAGGGCCCCGTTCTGTGCCAGTGCTCAGCCACAGTCCAGGCTCCACGCATGAGCACTCGTCTACATGGGAAAGCGATACCCGTATAAGCCAGGTGTGAATGTAAAGTGACAGCTGCACCGGCGCATTATACGCACCTCCCCATGGCCCCAAATGCTGCACTGGCGCAGCATACGGATCCCCTCTCGCGGTGAACGCTGCACCAGCGCAGCATACGGATCCCCTCTCGCGGTGAACGCTGCACCAGCACAGCATACGGATCCCCTCTCGCGGTGAACGCTGCACCAGCACAGCATGCAGATCCCCCCTCACGGTGAACGCTGCACCGGCACACCATACGGATCCCCCCTCCTGGTGAACGCTGCACCAGCACACCATACGGATCCCCCCTCCTGGTGAACGCTGCACCAGCACACCATACGGATCCCCCCTTGCGGTGAACGCTGCACCAGCACAGCATACAGACTCCCCCCCACGGTGAACGCTGCACCGGCACACCATACAGATCCCCCCCACGGTGAACACTGCACCGGCACACCATGCAGATTCCCCCTTGTGCTGAACACTGCACCGGCGCACCATACACATTCCATCCTGGTGAATGCTGCACTGGCACACCATACAGATCCCCCCTTGCGGTGAACGCTGCACCAGCACAGCATACAGATCCCCCCCACGGTGAACGCTGCACCGGCACACCATACAGATCCCCCCCACGGTGAACACTGCACCGGCACACCATGCAGATTCCCCCTTGTGCTGAACACTGCACCGGCGCACCATACACATTCCATCCTGGTGAATGCTGCACTGGCACACCATACGCCCCCGCCCCACCCCGGTGAATGCTGCACCAGCGTGCCATATGGCCCCCACTCCCTATTAACGCTCATGCTGGGATAAGGGGGGGCCTTCAGCTTATGTCGCTTTGGAAGGAGTTTAGCTAAAGCCCTCCAAAGTCACTTTTATCCTGGAGTCAGAGGGGCCGCAAGGGGGGGTTGCACCAGTCTAACTGTACTCGTTTAAGCACAGTGGGGAAGCTTCCCACATGGACGTGCCCTGAGGGAGCCCTGGGCTCTTTCAAGCATGTGCTCCAGGGAGCTCCAGCACCTGGCAGATAAGTCCTGCTCTATCCCACGGAGTCTGGGGCCTCCCTGTCAGGGAACAAACAGAGACCCAGGCAAGTAACAGACTCCAGCTCCCCAACACTCTACAGCCTTGGGAGCAGACTCCTTCGCTTTGAGCCTGGGAGGAGTCCTGATGACCTCTGGGACTGACCATGAGCTTCGCTGCCTTGCTGAACTGGGGTCTCAGCCCGCTGGCTGGTTGGGCTTTTCCCCTAGTGCTTCCCAAACGGTGACAGCAGGAATATCTGCACCAGCTGTGAAAACACAATTAGACACCCGTGCTTGTGGCATCAGCATTCGCTAATTCTGAGCAAGCAGCTGCATGTGAACTCACTGCGTGGGCACCACGGCATCTGTCAGCGGAAAGGAGATCTGCCCTCGGCTACAGGGAGCAGGAGGTCCCAGTCGCTGGGGTAATGCAGGAGAGGAGAAAGGGCTCAGCAAGGAAGGGCACCGTGGACAGGTTTGTCCAGTGCCTGTGTAACGGGGCTGGGGCCGCAATACCAAGCTCATCATCATCATCTGGGCCAAGGCCTATGGCTGCAACACACGATTACTACTCTCCAGTGACTAGGCCACACCCTCCCCCGCCCTGTCCCCTGGGCCATCATTCACAGCAGCGCAAAGCAGGGGAAACACGACCAGCTCCGAACGGCAGCATTATACGCTCACGGACACAACGGACCGAGAGGGCCCCTGGGTTTGTTAAACACGCCTCACACATTCGTGATGGGACCTCTGCTGAGCCGAGTAGCCCATGCGTGGCACAGGGACCCCAGGAGCACAGGGCTACAGCTGCTCACACCAGAATAGCTTCTCGTAACTTTAATGGTGAACAAAACAGTCCAGCACAGCCCCTGGGTAGCGGCAGAGTCACAGGCAATGCTGCTGGAGACAAAGCGGTAACTTTCCCCTGGCCTGGTACAAAGGAATCACATTCCCCTTGGCAGAGCTAGTGAGAATCACCCTGGTTTTGGTTTTGGTTTCGCTGCAGGACGCAAAGCAAACAGGCTGCTCCTGAGCTGGCGTCCGGGATGGATGAGGTGACAGCGCCTTGCACACCGGGCCTGACCCTGCGAAGAGCCAAACTTGAAAGCAGATTAGCCCAGCAGCTCTCAGGTGCCCGGCTACCTGCTGAGCAGGATCGCAGCAGCCAGACACTTTTCGGTCAGATGCAGCTCAGAAGGGAGCAATCTCATAACAAAGCTACTTCCTTCTACACGGGCCTCATGCAGGCCGAGAAACGTGCCAGGTAGCACCCAGCCCAGCATGGCCAATCGCCCAGGAGAGAAACGCCACTGAACAGTCTGTCTAAACGCAGCGAGGAGGATGAACCACACAGGAAGCCAACAGCTGATGGTACAGAGAAGTTTGCCATTTGAATGCACTGGAGTGCAGGGGCTGTCAGCGCTCTCATCAATTCATCCCCAGCATGCGAGAAGTTGACGGGTATCGCTTTCCAGCACAACGTTCAATTGCACCATTTTCAGGTCCCGAGGCAAGTTCCGGCTGAGTGGGGACGTGCATTCGCCCAGGCGCACTCTAGATCAGACTGAGTGGGTGGAGGCTTCCTGCCTGGTTCCTAGCTTCCAGGCAGAATTTGCAGGAGCGCTCAGCACTTGTCTAACCTGGCTCCCGCTGAAAGCTGGGGGCTCTGGGAAATCCCAGGCTGGGAGCGCAATGCATGCTGGGCAGTCACCACAGCTGCGCATCCAACTGCGTGCCAAGAGCCAGGCAGAGGCATAAACGGAAGTTTACTAGCACGACCGTGGCAACTGCCTGCCCGATTCTGGCATCTGCATGTGTAGCGCAGACGCATGTTTCCGGGCGTACGTTGCTGGAAATCAGGCCCTCTTGCTACATTCTGCTCAGCCAGCACAGCCTCGCTGTTATAGGGGGCTTTTCCTTTAACACTTAATGGCTATTTTTAAAAAAATAATCCTATGACAACGACTTCCCAAAACCCAGCCCAGCTCCACAGCTGCCTCCGTGGCCGAAGCTCTTTCCTGTTCAAAAAATTCTATTCCAAGTGGCTCTGATGCTTCCCCAGCACAGTCAGCAGGGCTCCGAAATAATGGGCTCATCTGACACCGAGAACCGGCAGCGCCAACTAGCTCCAAAGGTTCCAAAAATCAAGAGAGCGAGAAACAACAAAGCCACGAGGACTCTGGAGAGACGCTTAGCTCTCCACCGGGCCCGGGAAGAGCACACGCACACCACGGCACAGCCTACTGCTGTTGCTCTAACCTAAAACGCCCTGGGCTTTATGGGCTGGATGCTTCAGGGATTTGGGACCTTTGGATTCCTGGTCCCCATTTAATGCCCAGTTCCTGCTGGCTCAGTGGCCTGGTGTCCAGCCACACACACAAGAAAGCACCCCTACAACTAGCTCCCAGAGCAGCCAAATGACCCTCTCTGTCCTAGAGCCAGGAGCTGGGGGAGCTGCAGAGGAGACAGCTCTTGTACCCTCAACAGCCAGTTTATTGGGTGGGCCACAGGAAGTCAGTGTTAGATGGGCAGGGAGGTGTTTCGCACTGGGGGTGAGGGAGAAGGCTGGAGTAGGATCTCAGCAGAGGGGAGTGGAGGCTGCAGCACAGAGGGGCCTGCGGAGGCCATGGCGAGGTGGGGAGAGGGGCAGGAGTGTTTGGGGCCCAGGCTGAGGTTCTGCAGAGGCAGGAATGAGGCGCAGAGGATAGGATGTGATGACCAGAGACAGTTTACGCTGAACACCAGGGAGTTCTTTCCCATGGTGAGATCTATGGGGCTGGGAATCTTCTCCCAGTTACGGGGCGGGAGCCCCGTCGCCTGGGTTGTGGCTCAGTCACTGGCTCCAGGGCCGCGCTGCCCAGATGGATTACCAGGCCTTTCCCTGCGACAGCCGTGGTTAGTGTAATTCGTGCCTAGCTCTGGAAAGCTCCCAGCGCCCCGTGGCACCAACCCCGGAGACAATCTGACACGTACACCCAAGTGTCACCTGCGAGACTGAAAGCATCCACCCTCCAGAGACGTCTGCGCGTTAAACGCCACGGGGCGCCTCCTGCTGCCCGTGTTATCCTGACAGACGGCGGGGGCAGAGCTGCCTCTGCAGCTGGAGCTCCCACGTCCCCTCCCATTGGGCAGCGAGCTCTGCACTTACCCAGCAGCCCTGGGGCAGAAAGCAGTGAATAAATGCTGCATCTGGCACGTGACACACGGCTGGACTCGGCCCTTGCCGGTCGCTCAGAAGCTAGCGAGCTCAGTGGTTAGTGAAATGGCAGGGTCTCCTGCGAGCAGGGCTGGGCAAGGGTTCCCTGAGACACAGGGCAGAGCTCCTCTGTGTGAGCCCCAAAGGCCGCTGTGTCCAACTCCCCTGACCTCGGGATCCCAGGCTCAAGGGGGCGCAGCCGCTGCAGAGCATGGAGAGTGCCAGGCAGAGCACCACAACCCCCAGATCACTCTGCTTCCCACTTGTGCCTCCCTTGCTGAGCCCCCATCCCAGATCCCTCCATTTGCCCAGGCCCTTCCAGATCTGTGCACGACAGGCCACTGCTCTCCCCCCTGCCCCCCGCAGGAAGGTGCTGCCTCAGGCTCCGACAGGGATCCCCGTATGCATGTGCCAGCTACAGAGCCCAGCAGGAAGCCAGGTATGCCCTGTACCTCCGAGTCTTTGCCCAGCCATCTCCCTCTACCAGGTGCCCAGCTGCACTCAGGGCCCTTCTCAGCGAGCTGGGCAGCACCGTGACGGCAGCAGATCAGACCAGGTCATCCCTCCTCCTGCCTTGCCGGTGCTGGTAGGGCAGAAGCCCAACAGCCCCTTCTGAGCTGTGCCAGGTGGGCTGGGCAGGACTCAGGTCACCCCAGTGACACCCTCTCCCCCATCACCTGCTTCCCGAGCCTCGCTCTCCACCCTGTCTGCGTCGTAGGCAGGGTCCTCCCGGATGAACTCGTAGTCCAGGTCCACGGGGTCACCCCGGCACCATTTACCTGCGCAGAAAGCACATTGGGTGGGAATCTGAGCGTCTCTCATCAGGGCAGGAGCTCAGAGCGACGCCTGGCCCTGCCAAAGCCACGGGGCAGGGAGACGCAGGGGAGAAGGCAAACCACACCCAGGTGGGTCTCTGGGGAAAGGGGCACATCCCTGAAACTTTCAGTGCCTCGCTCCTCTCCCCAACCCTGGCCTGGGACCCATCTTCACGCTGCTGGGCTCTGAGAGAGCAGGCAAGAATGGGAAGTGGCATGTTGGCAGCAGAGCTACTACACAGTCCTGAGCCAGACCGAAGGGTGGCAGCACCGGGCCGGGAGAGGGACTAGCGCTGGGCAAAGGGAGAGCTAGGAGCCTTGGGGGTGTCTGAACAAAGCAGATGTTCTCTGTTTTGCTAGGAGCTCTGGCGCTGGGGGAACTGGCTCCTGGAGTGGGACTAGGCCAGGCAGCATCTAAACCCAGACTGGACAGAACCCTGGGGACGGTCTGTAGGGAACCACCCTGCTGTGGCCGCAGGTGATCTGACAGGGCCCTTCCAGCTCTAAGTTCCCTGGATGGGGGAGCTGGCCAGCCCACAGGGGTATGGGCACCACTCTCCGAGGGCACCTACTCTTCAGCAGCATGGAAGAGGCCATGTCCTTCCACTCCTCATCCTCAGGCCTGAGCTCCCACTGCTGGATCAGCTCGTTGATTTCCACATCCAGCTGCTGGGCCTGCTCGTCGAGGCTGCTGGTGCCGCCCTGGAGCTCCAGAGCCGCCTGGGGAGATGGTTCCTGGGCCACTCTGGAGGCCTGGCGCGGAGCTGTGGTAAGGAAGGGGTTAGAAGGAGATGGTCAGTGCGTTGCTTTGCTCAGCCCTATATGGGTCTGCCTTTTACCTCCCCATCACCTGGCTCTGGGTAGGAGGGACACCGCTCCCCTCTGGCTGCTGGATTTTGGCTCTCCCCATATAATAAAGGGGGAGGCAGGGAGCGTCCAGGGTAAAATCTCCCCCATGCGTGGCCTGGGCCCCACCCAAGGATGCGAGCAGTGCGCAAGGCCTCGTTCAGCCATCTGCACTGGGCAGGGCGGATCCCAGCCGGTGCCCAGTGTTGGGAGCTTCAAGCTCAGTGTGCGCACTGGGGTCTCTTGGGGGGTGGCCATTTTAAGGCCGCTGCCCTGTACCCCCTAGAACGAGGTCGTGTCTGACGATGCAGAGGAAAAACGAAGCCTGAGCTGCCACAACAAGGCCGGGCCAAGCAGCAGCTTTCAGACAGAGCCCCAGGAAGAGAATTCATCACGTCCCCCACCTCTGCCAGCACTGCGTTTAGTGAAGGGCAGCTCGGGAAGTCTCCATTCCCAGGTTTTGCAGGGGAAGGGGCCTCTCATGGCCCCCTCTGCCCCACGCTAGCAAGAAAGCAGCCCTCTTCCCCCCCACGATTTGTTATATTGGAGCCATTTTCCCTCTGGAGTTCAACTACAACAAAACCCCGCCACGTCTCCTTCACACTGAAATCCGCTAAGGCTGAGAGCCCCTCCCCCTCCAGGGTACTCCAGGTCAGCCACAACCAGAGGGTAACCCAAAGAACACACGAGGCAGCGTGATCTGGTGGATCTAACCCCGGAGACAGCTCAGCCCTGTCCCATCTATTCAGGGGGGAGGAACCTCAGGGCCAGTGTACCTACGGGGAGCAGAGCCCCAAGCACACCTAAGGCCAGACAGGTACATTATAATCACCTCGTGCAGGGGTTCTTACAAGAAAATTTTTGGTGGCCTCAGAGTGCGGCCACCAACTCTTGCTGGTGGCTGCTCTGACAATTTCCCCTAAATTACTTAATGTTAGGAAAAACAAGTAAATCTGCACATACACCCCCCCAAATCATTGTCATTTATTTATGTAGGGTTTTTTCCCGCCGACTCAATAATAAAAGTAATGTAGAGTTGTCGCTATTCTTTACTGGACCCAAACAGAACAGAAACACAAATAAAGTGCTTTGCATGTTTTGATTTTTTTGGTTGATTTTGTTTTTTAGACGTGCTAGCTAGTAAATCCGCTCCTGTGAAAAGTGATATTTGTATATTTATTAAAATCACTTTTCACAGCAAACTTACTCAGCTCCAGCAAGCTGGGGGACAAATTAAGCCCTAGATGGAGAGGGTGGGGGAGGGCCAGGGGCAAGGGGGGGTGAGCCCAGGGCTGGAGCCTGAAGCCCTGAGGCTGGGGGATGAAGTCCATCGCCACACGCCAGAACCTTCCGCCCATCACCCCAGGGCCAAAGCCGGAGCCCCACCACTCCCAGGAAGGTGGGGAACTCACACTGGTCACCTGCTCCTACAGCGTTTGTGGCTCCAGAAGGGGGCAAGGACCAGCCCCTGCTGGAGGCCCTGGGGAGGGGCGGTTGCTTTGCCCCTCCCCCCAATCACCACCCAGGAGGCTGTGGCCCCAAGAAAAGCCTCTGGTGGCCGCATGCGGCCATTGTGGCTGCATTTGAGAAACATTGATCTAGTCTGATGTCCTGCATCACAGGCCGGAGAATGGTTTCAGGGTAGCAGCCGTGTTAGTCTGTATCCTCAAAAAGAACAGGAGTACTTGTGGCACCTTAGAGACTAACAAATTTATTAGAGCATAAGCTTTCGTGGACTACAGCCCACTTCTTCGGATGCATATAGAGTGAAACATATATTGAGGAGAAATATATACACACATACAGAGAGCATGAACAGGTGGGAGTTGTCTTACCAAGT